CTTTTGGCGCGGTGATATATAAGCGCTTGATCTTAACAAGTACATGGTATCAAATTTAGGTCATTGGTTTGAGGCAAAGGCTTTGTAGTTAAGCTGCATAAGTAAGGCAACAGGTGGAGACCCATTCAAATTTGCTAATCTATTCAAAGAAAAGCTAGGAATTACTCTACAAAAAGTGGATGAAATGAATTACTCTAGAAACAGTGGATCTATTAAAATTTTCTGCTTGAGGTAGGCTTTTAATAGTAGGATGTATCTGGTTAGTATTCTGCCTTTGGTTGGTTCTCAAGGATTCCTCTGTGCAGTATCATCTTTTATTCTTTTGTTTTCTAGTTTATGTGTGTGTGGAAGAAACCTGGAAAAGCTGTTCTCGAACAGATCGAGTTCTTCGAGTTTGGTTAGCTTACCTATGCTCTCTGGTAATGAACCACTGAAGCTGTTACTAGAGAGCCTGAGGATTCTGAGATTGTGGAGCCGAAAAACGTTTTCCTCACCGCAGCCCCATCGGCAGAAGTAGTTGGTGACCGCAATGCCCATGGCGGTGTCATACCAGCAGCAACACAGCGGAGAACCGAAGCCGCAGCCCCACAGTCAGCAAACACAAAATCGGATGACTTTTTGCCCCCAGTTTAAAAAAGTTAGGATTAAATTAAGTAGGCTTAAATACTTAATACTTGGGACAAAATTGAGTATTATTAGCTAATAATCGGATGATCATTTTGGGTATTAACTTTAAATATTGTTATAATATTGCCAAGCACATTGTGCTTAGATGGTATGCATGTAATGACTCTTCTATATGGGAGGTCATGAGATCGAGCCAGTGTTGACTTTTTGTGTTAGAGTCAATAATGCTAAAAAAAAATTATTATAATGAAGTATATACTTATAATATGGTAATTTAAATTTTTTAATTTATAATATTTTTATTTACAAATTACTATTACTTTTACTAGATAGTATTTTCGCCCATGCGTTGCACGAGATGAATTTGTTATAATATTTTAAAAATATTTAGATCGATATACAATTGTATATATTATAATAACATTGAATATTATATAATATAATTGAAGAATTGAGTTGCACCGATTATGTTTTCTGATGTTGTCATTGCTTGAATTTGAGCAAATAATTACTCAATTAATAGCTAACGTGTAGATATACGCATTCGGTGCTGCAACTTTAGATATTTTATATATCAGCGTTTAGGATTTGTATTAATTGGGCTACTTAGCTCGTTGTCTAGCAATTTAGTTATAGAAATTATTTATATGGAAGATATATTCTCTATGTAGATATATAGCAATTTTGTCATCTTTGTATATATAAAAAAAAAAACATAATATCATTGGCTTGAATTACACATTATTGAATATCTTTGTAGAGGGACATTGATAGTAGTAACAGAATTTTATCCATCCCTGTCTAGAGTTAAAACCATCAGACCGTCAGGATTGGTGACTCGGGAAAAAAGCCATGTACAATTAACCGTGATTAAAGATTGATTTTCTTTCAGTAATAACTCAACGTGAGTTAGTGTTTGACCATGACTTTTGTTGATAGTCATGGCATATGCGAGCATCAACGTGAATTGTTTTTGTTAGAACTTGAACGGAAGTCTCGTATCAAAAGGGTGAAAACATTTTAATTAAAGATTTTTACTTTTATTAATAGTATAGATATAGATTGGTGTAAATAATAATTAATAAATTATTATTTCCTTATAAAATTACATTGAATTTCAAATGGATTTTCTCATTTATTACAAAGAATTTGTTTCTGTTATTCTCACAATTATAATGGTTTAATTATTTTTAGAATTTGATAACCATTTTCTATTTTTAAGTACATATTAACTTTAATTTGTGATAGAAATTCATTAGATATTAGTTAATATTCATATAAAACTTTGTTACCAATTAAGCTTTATTATTTTTTTTTACCAATTAATTAATATTCATATTAATTTGGGCGGGAATGTGGAAGAGTAGGATTTTACTTTTATTAATAGTATAAATTGGTGTAAATAATAATTAATAAATTATTATTTCTTTATAAAATTACACAAAATTTCAAACGAATTTTCTCTTTTATTACGCAGAATTTGTGTCCATTATTTTCACAATAATAATAATTTAATTATTCTCATAATTTGATAACCATTTTCTATTTTTATGTACATATTGACTTTAATATGTGGTAACAATTCACTATAGATTAGTTAAGTTTCATATAAAATTTTGTTACCAATTAATCTTTATTAATTTTTTACTAATTAATTAATATTCATATTAATTTGGGCTAGAATGGTGTAAAAGAGAATTTTACTTTTATTAATATTATAGATAGATTAATTTCATTTTGAAATCATTGGTTCATATATTTCAATTATTTATTTTTTCTTTAATTATTCTCATTGTAATCATAAATGATATTGCAATAATTAATTTATGATATTTATCAAATTGTAGTAAAAGTATTATTTCGAATTTGAGACATCTGATTTAGGAAGCTAGTACTGCAGTAACACATCGGGAGTTTCGGAGCAAAATGGATAGAATCAGAGCGGATTGGCCAGCAACATACAATTACCTTGAAGCAATCGAGGTCGAGAAGTGGGCATTGTCGCACAATGGTGGTCATCGGTATAGCATAGTGACAACCAATTGATCAGAATCGTTCAACAATTCGTTGAAGGGATGTCGTATACTGCCGGTTGCTGCACTTGCAAGGCTCACTTCTCACAAAGTAAGGCTAATGTTTGCTTACAGGCGAACAGCGGGGTAGAGGATGCAGGAGAGAGGGTTGCGTTGGCCTACAAATATTACTAAGCACTTGACAACACTAGAGCAACAAGTGTACAATGCCACCATTGAAAGATATAATGACTCAATGTGATTGTACGGGGTTGCTCTGGAAACCCGACATGTCACGCAACGTCCCAAACGGTTTTTTAGAGTTTGTTTGGCAGATCTTTCCTGCGACTGTGGACACTGGAAGGTCAACAGTTTACCATGTGCACATATCATTGCTGCATGTCAGTTTCAAAGAGTTACGTATGACTCATTCGTGCCGAACGTTTTCTCATTAGAGAACTACATAATGAGTTATGCAGGTAATTAATTTTATCCACCAAACTCTGAAATTGAATGGAGGAGTGAGCACATTATACTTCCACCATATTCTGCTAGGTGAGATTCGCGTCCTGGACAAAGACAAACTCGTCGCTACCCAATGGAAATGGACTATGGAAATACAAGATCCACGTGACGATGTAAGTAGGATAGTTATGCCATGGAACCGTGCACCGTTATCTTTTTTTTTTTTTCCTTAATTAACCGCACGACTTTTCTTCTTCATTTTCACATTTTGTGGTTTCACTTCCTCTTCGCACAAGCTTCTTCAACATAATCTCATAAAAAGAAAATTCATAATTTCATGCACATTCATAAATCCATGCCTGCACATTCATAATTGCGTGGATTTATGAATATGCAGTTATGAAATTATGAATTTTCTTTTATGAGATTATGAATTTTCTATTATGAGATTATGAATTTTCTGTTATGAGATTATGAATTTACAGTACATTCATAATCTCATAACAGAAAATTCATAATTTGACCAAACGCGCGCCGTTAACACCACATTAGCGAATTTTTTTTCTCGTAAAAACGGCACCGTTTGGATCTGTGTTCACCATTCATGGTGAACATGTTTCCAGGGCATAATGCTGGCCTCAAACTCATGTTTCACACCAGTGCCCGACGTTAGTTAACCAATCGTAGTGATATTAACTAACTCCACTCCTTATACACATAACTTCAATGGAAATGCAGATGGTTTCAATGTTAACTTTTCTTTCGATCAAATATTATTTTTATAAGTTTCATTCATGATAATGTGTATGGTGAACTTAACGATTTAAATATATGATAATAATAATATTATTAACAGCTTTTGTATTTCATCTTTTTTATAATTATGTTTCATTTTTGAGTTAATACCCAAAATCGTCTTCGACTATAGTGGTTTTTCTCAATTTCGTCCTAAACGACTTTGGTGACCTAATATCGTCCCAGACTTTTGTGTTTCGCTCAATTTAGTCCCAGACTTTTGTGTTTTTGCTCAATTTAGTCCTTCATTTGTTATTCTGTCCATTTGGTGTTAAATAAATAGACAATTCAGTAATTTTAATATTGGCATCTCTTTACTCATAGACATGTGAACTGCGAAATCCTTTTTTTTTTTTACGAATTACTCCTAAAACTACGAATATAAAATTTGATTTGCAGGTCCGGGAGTAATTCTGGGTGTAATTCGTACAAGAAAGAGGAATTTCGCACTTCACAAGTTGAAAGTAAAGAGAGATCAATATTGACATTACTGAATTGTCCCTTTATTTAATACCAATTTGACGGAATAACAAATGGAGGACTAAATTGAGCGAAACACAAAAGTCTGGGACGATATTAGGTTACCAAAGTCGTTTAGGATGAAATTGAGAAAAACTACTATAGTCGAGGACGATTTTGGGTATTAACTCTTTCATTTTTACTTATTTAGTCAAACATCACTAAAAATTATTACTAATAATTACTTAATTATTACTACAAAATCGGTTTTGATTTTAATTTCTTGTACAATTATATATACGTTCCTAGGGTCCGGATCCGGTGAGGACCTAATCTTAGGTGAGGACGTGAGGACTAATCTAGACCATTAAATCAGAATGATGTATGTCTGAGATTAAAAGGAACAAATCACACGGATTAAGAAAAAAAATCCCTTTAAACTATTAAAATATATAAATTTCGGGTAAATCGGTCTTATTAAAAGATGTGCATTCCTATACAAAATATTGTGCATTCTATACTGAGTGTTGTGCATCGATAACATTATTGTTGTGCATTCAAACCCCGCCAAAAAATCATAGTGGACATCCCAATGTCCCCTACGATGCACTGAAATATGTGCTATAATGCACAACTCTCTAGCCTATAGTGCACAACTTACAACACTAGGTTGCACAATCAGCACACACGAATGCACAATCATACTACCCAGGCATTTATACATATACACGACAATCCAAATATATACAATATTATACTCAAAAGAACGAGCGAAAAAAATAAAAAATACTCATTAGTTTGCATGGGCGAACACTCAATCAATGATGAAGAAATCGCGGCTCCAAATTGCAACGGTGATGATCCAAGAAAATAGGAAACCAATTTGGCCAAGGATTACACATGCGTTCACACTTAAAAAAATAGAAAAAGACTCTACTACCCACTTTAACAAAAAAAATCAATCCATGTCATCTCAAGAACTCAAATCTGGGCCATTCAAATAAAAAACAAACGCACAAGATTAGTCCTCACGTCCTCACCTAAGATTAGGTCCTCACCTGATCCGGTTCCTACGTTCCTATTCTAATTGTATATACCTTTGTATTCTAATTATATACCGCTCGTATTCTAATTTTTTTTTCCAGTTTAAAATAATGTTGTCTTCCTCAAAGACATTATTATAGTATGATGTCTTCCCTAAAGACGTTATTCCTTTGTATGTTAGCCACAAAAGAAATTTCTCATTTTCGAATGCCGTGTGCAACAATATGCTGGTGAGGGTAGCAAATGTAGGGGCTTTTTGTTGGGTAATATGGTTGAAAAATCCCAAAATAATAATTTTACAGAAAAATTATTATTGTATGGGAAACAGAAAAACTGGGAAGGAAAAGATGTGAAAAACTGGGTAAAGGTTAGCACGAGTTCGAACACAAAGTTCTTTTCCTTAAAACCTTATTTGCTACCTCCCACAAGTGCTAGGAGCGTTGTAGCCTAGGTTTCCCAGGATAAAACGTGCTACGAATATTTGTTTAAGCACCTAAACAAAGAACCCGGCAAACAAAGCAAAGCTGTAACACAGATTGGCTAAAGAAGAGAGTAGAAGCAGAGTTTTGAGAGGATAAAGCTACTGAAATTCCTTTGTTTCTCTACTGTGTAAAATGCTACTGCTCTACCTCTCTTTATATAGGGATGTTAGAGTGATAGCATTCAACATGGCCATTAAATTGGTATTAAAACCAATTGTGTAACACCTGTAACGGCCACCCACTAAGTAGGATTAAACTCAGATTTAAAATAGGAATTAAAACAGTGTTAATTCCAGTAACAGTTGAGTTTAATCTTCTGAACTTTTGGGTTTCAGACCGTTGGGGTGCAGGTTCACACGAGAGCACACGGACCAGGCAACACGAGAGTACATCTCTCATGCGCGCTGTGGTGCAACCCGAGAGTGCACCTCTCGTGATCACTGATGCACGAGAGTTGTGCTCTCGGTGCACCACACCCTCTCGTGCTCTCTGTAGCACGAGAGTAGGTGCTCTCGGTTTCGGTCGAACTCGGGCGAACCAAGTGAATATATCAGTTGGAAAATGATACCGAAGTTTGGCATAACTTAGCCCGCAAGGACAGCCAATTTCCGGACGACATTCGTGCCTGCAGGTGCCGGCGCACGCGAGCTCGGGCTTGAATCAAGCCTTTTCGATCTCTTCTAGTTGGATTTTGATTTGCACCCCGCCCCCTTCCCCCGCGCGAGAGAGCCTCTATGTTATACAATTCAACAAGCATCAAAAGAGCTCTTGTACATAAGGGGGGAAAATCTTCTTTCCAAACCAATGTGGGACAAAGTCCACTATTTCCCTTCATTTCCCAACTCAAATGGGTCTACTTTGAGAATCAATATCTCATTCACCCATTATCCGTTTTGAGCGTACAATATATCAATCTTTTCGTCTCACTACGAAGAACCCGAATCCACTTTGACCCGACCCAAATCTGAAGTGGACCCCATTGATAATTGTACCACAAAATAGCCACTTAATATGTCATTTTAAGCTAATTTTTCCAACAATCCCCCACATGAATGAAAATTGATTTTCGGGGTAGTTTTAAAATCGGAAACAACTGTGTTCAACGGTCGATCCTTGCATAGGATAGGTAGGGTCACACCCTTTGAACCTTCCCTCGTGAAGATACATTTACTCTACTGACTGTACGGTAGAACGCGATGTCTTTAAATCGACTGACGTTTGTGTAGACGATGACATATCTCACACAGGAATCTCCCAATCATGCTTTGTTCTCATGACTGTGCCCATTTTGGTCGTGGGTCGCCATTCCTGGTTCTGCAAGAGTTTGTGAAGAATTATGCCCATCAATTCTCCTTTGAAGCTACCCTCATTTCTCTCTCACATAGGTGATTCTTTCCCGAGTATCCCGCATACTCACATATGTCAACCGACATTCTGATAAGCAGTATTTATATATTTAATTTAGATTAATTCTTATAATAAATTAGTTTTATTTATTTAGTATTATATTTATTTTAAACTTTATTTTATATTTTGTACTAATATAATATTAGTTGAATAATTAGGCTTAATCAACAAATTAGTAAGTGTTGAGCTTAATTAGTTTATGGAAAAATTAAATAGGCTTAGTAGTTAATTGGCCCACTAAAATAAACCCAAATTCTATAAACTAATCATCTTTTCTTTTAGGTGAATTATGTACGCAAGAAATAAGACCAGAGAGCAGCTTCAACGGCACGACTTATTCTACGATTTCTCCGTGAACTTCAGTTACGTACGTAGACAACAAACGATGACTCCGTAGGCTGCTGCGATGAAGACAAACTGCGCGCTCCGTCCGTAAACTGCCGTCGACTCTTTCTGTGGATTCTTCAAATTGTGGTCTGCTGCTATACGGACAAATTAATTGAATTAGAGGTTGGAGCTTGTTCTACCAATGACATGCTACTTATGACAAGGGGAGTTTGTTCCATTCTTTTAAACACATTCTTTATTATTTACATGCCTTAATTTTTAATTCTATTTTAACATTTGGGACAATGTTAAGAATAAGTGTGGGGAGGGGACTATTATTCATGATTTAATTCTTCCCTTCTAACTAATAATAAATTTTTCAAAAAATATAGTATTTTTACTAAATTCATGACATAATTGAATAATTGGTCTTGCATATTATGATTATTTAGTTTAGTATTTTGTTTGATATGGTGGTGGCTAAACTAAACAAGCATGAACCTGTGAGATTTTTGAGTCTTTAACTGACACTTCAGTTCAATTATTTTGTTCCTGTGTGATATCTTCCATAGATTTGTATCTCTAGAACTTGCATTGATTCTCTTTAAAGCTAATTTGATGCATGCATGATTTTTAATATAATTAAGGCCATCTTTGATTTTTAGCCTCACTAGCCAAATAGCCTATTCATACCATGATTGATTTATCCTTAGTCAGCCACTTTGAGGCTTTTTAACTGTTTGTTTTTGCTATGGAACCACATTATAAGCCTTATACTTGACATTGATTTCCTTAACCTTGCCTAAAAGATTAGGGGAGCTTGATTGAGTAATTGCATAAAGATTTGAGTGTGGGAAAAATGTTGACAAAGTATCTATGACTGAGAATAATGAATTGGTCATTAGACTTTGGTTGGTATTTTCAAAAAGAAAAGATGGTAGATAATGGGAAATGAGTTGATGTAATTATTTCAAATCGAGATTGTTCCTAAACTAAGAAGGTGAAGTATTCTATGGAAATTGTGATTCTACAAAAAAAAAAAAAAAAACAAAAAACAAAAAAACAAAAAAAAAAAAAAAAAAGAAAAAAATGCAAAATACGAAATGTAAAAAGCAGAAAAAAAAAGGAAAAAAGGATATGGAAGGCAGAATGAAAAAAAGAGAATTATTATTATTATTATTATTATTATTATTATTATTATTATTATTATTATTATTATTATTATTATTTTTCATGTTGAATAAGGTATAAATAGTTTATTATCTTATGGGGGGTGTGATAGTTTATTTGGTTGGAGATTGAAGTGTCGAAACAACAAGAGAGATTTGGTTCACTTGGTCTTTATTTTGAATTATTAGTTCATTCAATCATGCTCCTCTAAGTTTTTAAGGCTTTTTGAACTACTTTCCAAAATAATTCCTACCCTTTACCCTAGTCCCATTACAACCATGAAAAAGTCCTTATGATTTGATCATGCATGTTATCTTGTAGTAGAGAATGAGAAGATATGCAATCCTATGGCAGAGCATTTCTATAGGTATTGATTTGAGTGAAATACACACACCCTTCAAACACTTGTGCGTTATGAGTGATATTCCCGTGAGAGCTTGGTTACTTAGTTCACTCTATTTTCAAATAAACTGCTAACTAACTATTTATAATGTGTTTGAGACCGATGTTCATGAAGTGTTATGAGTTATTACATGTTTATATTTTTCTTGAATAATGTTTGTGCTTGAGGACAAGCAAATGATTAGTGTGGGGAGTTTTGATAAGCACTATTTATATATTTAATTTAGATTAATTCTTATAATAAATTAGTTTTATTTATTTAGTATTATATTTATTTTAAACTTTATTTTATATTTTGTACTAATATAATATTAGTTGAATAATTAGGCTTAATCAACAAATTAGTAAGTGTTGAGCTTAATTAGTTTATGGAAAAATTAAATAGGCTTAGTAGTTAATTGGCCCACTAAAATAAGCCCAAATTCTATAAACTAATCATCTTTTCTTTTAGGTGAATTATGTGCGCAAGAAATAAGACCAGAGAGCAGCTTCAACGGCACGATTTATTCTACGATTTCTCCGTGAACTTCAGTTACGTACGTAGACAACAAACGACGACTCCGTAGGCTGCTGCGATGAAGACGAACTGCGCGCTCCGTCCGTAAACTGCCGTCGACTCTTTCTGTGGCTTCTTCAAATTGTGGTCTGCTGCTGTACGGACAAATTAAATGAATTAGAGGTTGGAGCTTGTTCTACTGATTTTTTGTGGTTTCTTAGAAATTAGGAAAATAAAGATTATTTATTTTCTAGGTTCTATGTGGTTGAAAGAAATTGATTTTATTTGTGGATGTTAGGGAAATTAGGGCTATTTTGAGCTGATTAGGGAGCCTAAACTAGTATAAATAGGGATGAATTTTGCACTATAGCATAGTCAGTTTTGTTCAGAATCACTTTATTTTACTATAAACACTCTCTGCAATGTACTGCTGAGTTCGAATTTTCCAATTCAAGGATTATTGAAGTTTGATTCTACAAGACCAGTGAGATTTATTTAGCTTAATTTTATTCTCTGAACTTTATTATTTATATATCTCCTGTTATCTGAGTTTAAATTATTGCTTGATTAATTGTTGCAAAGGGCCCATTGTTCAATTGTCAAGTTATTATATTGCTAATTAGAACTTTGAATCCGTAATTGTTTAAGTGTTCTAAAGCTAGTAGCAAATAACATAGTTGATTATAAATTAGATTTTCAATCTTATGTTATGAAGATATATAGTCTAGTTTAAATGAACCATGCTTTTGAGTTTGTTGGCTAGAATTGGTAATCTTCTAATTCTTTTAATGCTGTTAGTAAATTAAATCCTAAGAGCTTGTTTAGGATTGTTTATTAGCTAGGGAAGTTATCAAAGAGCTTGTTTTGATTATCGACAAAGTAAGGAAAGATAGGTTATTAGAGCTTGTTAATAACCATAACCAATTTGGTAAAGCGTTAAGTAATTATTTCTTGGAAATTGATGATCTGTCTTGTTAGAATTGAATTGATATTATTCCTTGAGTTGGATACTAGTTGATATTGATTATTTAATATTTTGTATTGTTTTCCTTTTTATTATTGCTATTTAATTTACAATTCCCATCTCATTCTTCATTGAATCTTTGATTAAAAAGAAGTCTGACCAATCTCTGTGGGTACGACCTTACTCATCACTATTGCAAATTATAGAGTAAGTAATTTATTATTTGTTGATTTCGACACCCATCACATTCGAATCACTAATGCATTTAACATGCTAACCTTGTGCGGGAGCCACTGTTTCTAACGAAGAGTGGTTGGGAATCCGAGACCCTTACAGTGACACGCTCCGTTCCATAATTTAGTTGTCCCATTGAACCTAGGTACCAGCTAGGTTGGGTGCCCACTATAGAACTTTATACCAAGGGCTTTAGACCCATTCCTCGTCTCAACTTCTCCACAGCTACTCTACATAACCCTTTGGTTAGCGGATCCGCTATATTGTCTTTTGACTTTACGTAGTCAATCGAGACTACACCAGTTGTGAGAAGTTATCTAATGGTATTATGTCTTTGACGCACATGTCTAGACTTACCATTATACATATGATTTTGTACTCTTCCAATTGCATTTGACTATCACAATGCACACACATTGGAGGTACAGGTCTTTCCCAATTAGGAATATCCTCTAAAAAATGGCGTAGCCATTCAGCCTCTTCGCAACACTTTTCCATGGCTATCAGCTCAGATTCCATCGTGGATCTAGCTATCACGGTCTGTTTAGAGGATTTCCATGCAACGACTGCACCGGCTAGTGTAATCACGTAGCCACTCGTGGACTTGGAGTTCTTAATATCAGATATCCAGCTAGCGTCGTTATACCCTTCAAGTACAGCAGGATATCTCCCATAGTGCAGTCCAAGGTCTCGAGTATACCTTAAGTATCTCAGAACCTTCACTATTGCCATCCAGTGCATGGCACCGGGGTTACTCGTATATCTACTGAGTTTACTAACCGCAAAGGCAATGTCTGGCCTAGTACAGCTCATTAGATACATCAAACTACCAATAATCCGAGCATACTCTACTTGAGAAATACACTCCCCGTGGTTCTTAGTTAGATGAACGCTTCGATCTAATGGCGTCCTAGCCCCTTGATGATTATCCTTGTTAAATTTTTTCAAGGATTTTATCAATATAATGTGATTGGCTCAACACAAGATCATCAGGTCTTCTAATGATTCTAATCCCGAGGATTAAATCAGCCAAACCCATATCTTTCATGTCAAATCTCGCATTTAACATGTTTTTGGTAGACTTGATCATCCGATCGTTACTACCAACGATGAGCATATCATCTACGTATAAACAAAGAATGACATAGTCGTCTATCGTTTCCTTAACGTAGACACATTTGTCACTTTCGTTTATTCTAAACCCATTAGTCAACATCGCATGGTCAAACTTCTCGTGCCACTGCTTAGGCGCTTGTTTTAAACCATATAGCGATTTAACCAACTTACACACTTTCCTTTCTTGGCCCCGAACCACGAACCCTTCGGGTTGTTCCATATAGATTTCCTCATCTAATTCGCCATTTAGGAAAGCGGTTTTAACGTCCATTTGATGAACTTCCAGATTCCGCAACGCGGCTATGGCAAGTATCATCCGAATGGAGTTTATTCTCGTCACGGGAGAATACGTGTCGAAGTAATCAAGGCCCTCGCGTTGCCTGTAGCCCTTGATTACAAGCATAGCCTTATACTTCTCGATGGAACCATCGGGTTTCATCTTCCTTTTAAAGACCCACTTAGATCCTAAGGGTTTACTACCCGGAGGAAGATCAACAAGTTCCCAAGTGTGATTCTGTAAAATAGAATCCACTTCACTTTTAATAGCCTCTTTCCACATTAGTCCTTCTGTAGAAGTCACGGCTTCTACATACGTTCGAGACTCGTTCTCTATCAAACAAGATAGAAAATCGGGTTCATTTTCTAATAAACAAGTTAGAGTACTCGGATCGTACTCCAACAAGTAAGTTAGAAAATCAGGACCAAATGATTTTCCAACTCTCGCCAGCTTACTGCGTCTCGGCTCGAGCTCGGGTTCTCTCTCGGATTCCCCACTATCATTGTCCATAGCTTCGTCAAACGTTCGTTTTGATGTACTTGGTCCCTCGTTGGACCTACAAGGAAATACATTTTCAAAGAAAGATGCATTCCTTGATTCTATTATCGTGTTCTCGTGTATGTCCGGATTATGGGACTCGTGTACTAAGAACCGATAAGCACTACTATTATGTGCATAGCCAATAAAGATACAGTCCACCGTCTTGGGACCTATCTTTACTTTCTTAGGTGTTGGCACCAAAACTTTAGCAAGACACCCCCACACTTTCAGGTACTGGTAGGAAGGTTTCTGACCGTTCCACAGCTCATAAGGAGTCTTATCGAACTTCTTGCGAGGTACCTTATTTAAAAGGTAATTACTTGTCAAAATAGCCTCACCCCAAGCATCTTGAGGTAGGCCCGAACTTATAAGCATCGCATTCATCATATCTTTCAATGTACGATTCTTTCGTTCGACAACACCGTTCGTTTGAGGTGAGTAAGGTGCCGTGCACTCGTTTATTATACCTACACTAGCACAGAAGTCACCAATAGGTGCTTCGTACTCACCACCTCTATCGCTTCTAACTTTCTTAATCTTACAATTAAGTTGGTTTTCAACTTCATTCTTATAAAGAATGAATTTTTCCAAGGCTTCGTCTTTGCTTTTAAGCAAATACACATAGTAATAACGTGTGCTATCGTCGATAAATGTGATAAAATATTTATTACCACCTCTTGTTTGAATCGATCTAAAATCGCACAAATCACTATGGACTAATTCTAGTGGTTCAGTTTCCTTTCAACCGATTGAAAGGTACTTTCGTTAGTTTTGCCTCAACACAAACTTCACATTTGTTATTTGTGTTAAGTTGATCACCGGACGGCCGGCAAGCGCCAAATCCTCGATAAGCACCTGCGCACGGCCAAGATAGTCCGGGATGGAAGCATCCCCCTGCCGCAATCCCTGGAATTCGCCCACCAACCGGAGAGCACGAGCCCGTGTCATCGAGCCAAGCACTTGTTCAATCGCCAACCGTAGATGCCGAGAGGTGGACTTACCGTCGGACAAGGACGAGATCAACAAGGAGATCACGGCCTTATCTTGACGGAGCCATGCACTCCGACGTAAAGAGAATAGTAAACCTATTACAAGACGAATACTAATAATAATAGACAACGAATACTCATGATAATAGACTTCTAATAGTAAATGCTTGATAAATATTCACCCCACACATATATAGAAGAGTTGAATTACGAACAGGACTTAGCTAAAAACTGCTATTGATATGATATTATGATTTGGGTAGATCAACAGTTGAAAGTTGTTAAAAAATAAGGGGGGAAATGATGGAATTAGTTTTATAAATATTATAAACTTAAAAATTTATAATAACTAGTATTTGTCCCATGCGATGCACGGAAAATATGTTATAAAAATATACCCTATATGAAGTTTATTCTTATATAAAATTTTTGTTATTTAATAATTATTATGTGTGAATTCCTATGATAAAATTATGAACATAAATATATTTACAATTAAAATAATATTTAAGGTGGGTGATTACTACAAATCTTAAACTATATTAAAAATTTAGTACATAGTATTTAATATTACAAATTTTTAAGAACTTAGTAAACTACAATAGTAATTGAATTACAATTTTAGAGTCACCACGGATCAAAATTTTTAGACCTTTGATATTTCTAACTCTAGATGTAGCAACATACAATTGACCTTTAAAGACCAAACAATCACAATCTTAGTTCAAACATTGATTTTTTCTTCCAAATACTATCGAATTAAGTGTGTAATCAATAAAAGATGAGAACTAATAATTCGAGAATATAATCTTAATGTTACTAAGCCTACTTCACGTCAATTAAGTTGGAGAGTGTTGTTGGATAGTATCCGATGAATCCACGAATAACGCATCCGATGAATCCACAACCGTAGTCCTCGATATGCACATCAACAATCTTAAATATTAGGCCGCCTAGCTATGCTATATATTAATTTCAAACTTATGGACTTTGGGGTTGCATGTATGATGTGCATGCATGCTTCTTAAAGCCATATGGTCTTGTGAAAATTAAATATTATTAATACCAACAATTAACCATTAATATCAACATTTAATTTTCACAAGACCATATGGATTTATTATAATTAAGATTATAAAATTGAATCAGTGTTTTTTTATTAAAAAAAAAAAGGTCATCATTTTTTACTAAATGTTCTAGTAAAAAGTAGTGAGAAAGAACTCAGAGAGAGAACCGAGCATAAGAGAAAGATCTAAAAAATATCTTTCTAGTAAAAAATAGTGAAAAATATTTTTTGCAAAACTGGGTCTCTTCTTGTTTGACCAAAATAGGTTGATTTCATTCACTTCATTCCCCTTGAAAATCTAATTCAACATTAAAAGAGTCTAGAAAAATGTTTTCAAAATTCAATTTTTATATTTTCAAACAGACCTAAACTGACATTATAATGAAATAGTTAAAATTCTTATTTATTACAAGTGGTTTGAGTTTTGTTCAACAAATTATGCCGAATGAACGTGGTTTGATGCTATCAAACCATAAGATATTTGGTCAAATAATT